CTCGGCATCACTGGTGGCAGTGGCTCAGGGGGGGCCCGGCCCTGTGGCCTCCTGTGGCTGCTCACGCTCAAGGTCTGCACCAGTGGTGAGGACCCAGCAGGCCTCATACAGATACAGAAGAGTCTTCCTGTGCTTGGCCCCCTCAGCCTGCAGTGCCCTCCCTCTCCCAGATGGCTCTCCTCCTCCGAGGATCCTGTTGTCTGCCCCTTCTCCACCCCTCTAGCTTTCTCACACTTGTGTCCTTGGCTTCCCTCTCCATCCCTGGGTTGGCCCTTCTTCTGCCACAGACTTCCTCCTCTGACTTCCCCTCCACTTCTAGAGCCATTTCCCCTGCCTCTCTTCCACCCTAGCACTCCTCTCTTTGCCTTCCTCAGACTTCCAGTCTCTGCTCACATCAGTTCCCCTGTCTTTCTAAGGCTTCTATCCCCCCTGCCACTTCCCTTCCCTTCTTTCCTAAGTTGACCTGACTTCCCATTGCCTAGTGTTACCAGATACAATACAGGTTAATTTAACTTTGAATCTCTTATGATAGGGTCTTGCTGTATAGGTCAGGCTGGCCTTGTACTTACTATGTAGCCCAAGTTGGCCTCAAACTCATGGCAGTTCTCCTGCTTCAGTTTCCCAAGTACTTGAATTATAGGCATGTGCCACCATAGGTAGCACAATAGGTAATTTTTATTTTTATTTATTTATTTATTTATTTATTTATTTATTTATTTATTTTTGTGGAACTGGGGATTGAACTCAGGCCCTTGTGCTTGCCAGGCAAGCACTTATTCTACTGAGCCATCTCTCCAGCTCCAGCCATCTCCCCAGCCCCAGCCATCTCCCCAGCCCCGATAATTTTTAGAAGTATGGTGTCAGGCTGGGGAGATAGCCCAGCAGCATAAGTACCTGCCTGGCCAGCCCAAGGTCCTGAATTCGATCCCTGGTACTGCAAAACAAACAAACAAACAAACAAACCAAAAGAAATATGTGTTGAGTATTTAATGGCATGTTGTACTTATTTTGGGGGCCTGAGGGTGTGGCTCAGTGGTACAACACATGCTTACTATTTTTTAGCATCTGTACAACCCCCAGTACCAGACAAACTTATTTTTTAAATTCAGATTTTATTAGGTACCTTGCAGTTTTATTTGCTATACTGGGTAACTCCACTGTGTCTCTGCCCCACCTCCCCAGGCATGTGCCTTTGCCCAGGCTGGTCTCTGTGAGAACACTACAGCTCTCGGACAGGTAGCTCAGCATCACCAGCGGCTGCCCAGCTTAGCTCCTCCATAGCTACCCGGGCCTCCCCACAGCCCAGCACCAGGGTTAGCACCAGGCAGTACATGGGACCTACAGAGCATTCATTACTCCAGCTCCATTGCCAGTACTGGGTCTATCTGGTTGGTAGCTGCCAGACTGTTTTATTTTATAAAGAAAATGAGGTTTACTTGGCTTATAGTTTGGAGCATGTTTTCTTTTTGAGACAAGTTCTCACTATGCAATTCAAGCTGACCTTGAAACCACTATGGAGCCCAAGCTGACATCAAATTCATGACAATCTTCCTGCCTCACCCTGTCAAGTTCTGGGATTACAGGCATGCACCATCATGCCTGGTAATTTTTTCCAGTCTACTATATTCTAGGTTTTTGTGTTTGTTTGTTTGTTTGTTTTATTTTAGGGAAGGGTCTACAGGGTTTTCAGGGTCTCACTACTAAATCAGACATAGTCTGTTTTACAGCCTCCCAAGAGCTGGGATTAGTTGGGATTTCAGGCGTGCACCATCACGTCCAGTTTCAATTGCCATCTCAGCACACCCCAGGGATCGAACCCCTGGCCCCTTTGCCTGCTTACAAGTGTTTTAGTCTACTGAGCTATTTGGCTGGCCCTACTACATCTACTAGCTTAATCTCATTATATGTTTTGTAGAGCCCAGGTCAAAGAGAGGAGGATATAATAGGGATAAACCACTGTTCTCCCTCCAAATTTATAGTAAGGGAATAATTCTCTGCAACTCCTCCCACAATCGAGGGTTTAGTTTCAAGTGTTTTCACTTATCATTGACATCATAATTACGACCAGTTCCTGGGTTTGGAAACTTCCAGCTGATAAAGCTTATCTAGCCCAAATATCTCTTCAAGAGAGGAAATGAACCTTAGGGTAGGTTCATGGAGTCACTGACCCCACAGCCGGACAAATGTGGGCCGAACTGGGATAGTCAATCAAACTTGAGGTCATATTACAGGGTCTGCTGCTAGAAGCCTCTCTTGTAAACAAGTCTCTTAGTTTGTGTTCCCCACGGGGAAGATCCTGAAAAGAAGTTTGTGTTCCTGTTTCCTTGAGGAGCACAATCCCAGGAAGCAGGAGGGAGGGAGGAGGAGTGGAAGGAGGAAGGCAGGAGAGCACCTTTGTAGTTACTTTAACGAGTGGGTTGCTGCTCACCCTCCAGTATGAGTGTCCCTCTGGGAGGCTGAGGCAGAAGTTCAGGCAGGCAAAGCCTGGGCCACTTAGTAAGACACAGTTTCAATATTCAAAAAGAGCTAGGGATGGAGCCCAGTGCAGAGGATCAAGGTTCAATTCCCAGTGTCACAAAAAAGCATGACTCATTGCATGATTTTGCATTTCATGTCCATGTGCCTGAGGAAAAGGAAAAGGAATTTAGCCCTGGATCCCATTTTTTTTAACTTAAAAAAAAATCTTTTATTTATTTATTCATTTGGTACAGGGTTTTACTACACAGCTTGGACTCATAGTGATCCTCCTGTCTCAGCCTCCCCAGCACTGGGATTACAGGCATCCACGCCCAAGGTTCAGGGGCTGGCAGGGTTCCAGGGCCAGCATGGCATGCAGTATCAGGGAATGAACCCAGGTCCTTGTGCTTGCCAGGCAGGTGTTTAGACTGCTGAGCTATCTCCCCAGCCCTGGCTCCCTTTGTTACCAGGGGAACAAGTTTTGGGTTCTTGGTATCCCAAGGAATTGAATAGGATACGCAGGAGTAACCAGAGGGAAACTTATAAAAAGTGAAAGACACTCCCCAGGGAGGTGGGGGCCGATGAAAAGAGCTCATGCTCCAATAGGGCAGGCACTGCTATCTCTTAAGGTCCCAGGATTACGGGAAGACCCAGAGTCAGGGATCGACAGGAGCCATGGCCCAAATGGGTACTTGATTCCATCCACCTGTCAGGAGGACCAACCAGGTTTTCAGAAGATGTGTCATGGCAGCCAAAGCCCACAGAGGGATTTTGGAGGTTGGGGTAGATGTGCATGGGATCAAACCCACAATACAAATGAAGTTGGATGAAGGCCAGAATCACATGCTTTCAGTTTTACCCATGCTTGGCCATCTTGGAGGATAGGATGACCTTTATTTGTTGTTTATTTATTTATTTATTTATCTATTTTTGGTGGTACCAGGGATCGAACTCAGGACCTTGTGCTTGCCAGGCAAGCACTTACTCCACTGAGCTATCTCCCTGGCCCTGATATTTTGATACAGTTGTCCCTGCTCTGTCTGGTTTCTCTGTTTTTACCCACCAGCTTCTTGTTTGCTGGTGCCCCCTCTACCTCCTGCCTCATTCTTGCCAGTTGCTTAAAGCTTTGCCCCAGAAAATATGAACTACTACATCCTATGCAGCTGTTCATGTTCCTGGGGAGAAGGACAGTCAGAGGATGAAGAAATAAAGATAAGAGCTAAAAGCTGAGGTCAGGTGGAAGGATGGGGAGGAAGGAACTCTGCCCAGCCACACAGGTGCATTTATTTATACATTTGATAAAGTCAGTATGGACACAGGGTTACCTAGCAACTAATGGCTGGGATTGTCTTATGAGCTCCCCCCCCCCCCCCGTACTGAGGATCAGACTCAGGACCTTGCTCTTGCCAGGCAGGGGCTTATGCTGCTGACCTATCTCCCTGGCCCTTGCCTCAGGTGCTCTTTGTTCTCCACCAGCCTTGCCTTGCCCCCACCCGCGTGACCGAGTTCCAGCCTCAGCTGCTCCCTGCAGTGAACTTCGTTACACACCCAGTGTGCGCACACCTAGGAGCTGGCCGGGCTCTGTGCAGTCTTGGGCGGCAGAACCAACAGGGAAGCTGCAGAGTGTGAGGCACGAGCTCCGTGAGCAGACATGTGGCCTGGAACTGCTGCTGCCTGGGCCACGAGAGCAGGTTTGTGTTGGAGTGGGGACAGCGCTGCAGCCAGCGATCAGGAGAAACAAGTTTCCAAAGGCCTCGGGCACAGGTGGGGCTGAGAAGATCAGAAGTGACACAGAAGATATTTGAATTCTTTCCTAATGATTCAAATTTAAAATCTCAATTACTGACACTATATTTTTAATAGTTAGTTGTCTAATAAAAAGTCTCTGTTTCTTCCCAATTAAGTAATAGCTTTTGAGGAAAAATGACCAGTTCATCTGCTGCAAGTTTATTTTAACTGAAAAATGTCTTCTATTTCTGTGTTTTGCTTGCCATATTTAACATTATTGGTGGCTTTTAAAAAATTAATCAGGGGCTGGGGAGATGGCTCAATGGAATAAGCGCTTCCCTGGCAAGCGCAAGGGTCTGAGTTCAATCCCCAGTTCAGGAAAAAAAAAAAAAAAAAAAAAAAAATTCATGCTTTGGGGCTGGTGAGATGGCTCAGTGGTCTAGAGCACCTACTTACAACAAGCTTAGCAAAACAGGGACTGCAGTTCAATCCCCAGCACCACATGCCAGCCGCCCCCCCCCGTGGGCTGAGCTGGTCACACACACACACACACACACACACAAATAAATAAATAAAATTAAAAAAAAATAAAAAGAATAAAAAATAAAAAATTAATCATCTGGGGCTGGTGAGATGGCTTAGTGGTCTAAAGCACCTACTTAGAACAAGCTAAGCAAAGCACAGGGACCGCAGTTCAATCCCCCAGCACCACATGCCAGCCAGCCCCGCCCCCTGGTGGGCTGAACTGGACACACACACACACACACACACACACAAATAAATAAAATTTAAAAAAAAATTAATCATCTCTCATGATCCTTAGGTTCATGAGCGTGATGACTGGGTGTTCATGCTGTATACATAAGCTGTGCCTCCCTCACACCTTGTTACGATGCAGGTACCTTACCTGTCTGACGTGAAAAAAAAAAACTAATCATCTCAGATATGGACCACGTCAGATAAGCAGTGACCTGTTGGCATATAGCTTGTCTATTGCATAGTTGCTCTATATTTCACTAATTTATGCCTATTGCCAACTTCAAACCATGCTCTTTGGGTTTATTCTGTTGCTTTCTTTCTAACTTGCCAAGTTGGACACCACCTAATTTTCGTTTTCACTTTTCCCTTATTAGGAGCCATATGTATGTTACATATTGTAGCAAACACATTTGTCTTGGTTACTTTTCTCTCCTCACTGGGACAAAATACATGACACCCAACATTAAGGAAGAAAAAGTTTATTTAGCTCAGTTTGTGGAGGTTTTTTTCACTTTTTTTTTTTTTTTTCCGGAACCGGGGATTGAACTCAGGCCCTTGCACTTGCCAGGGAAGCGTTTATTCCACTGAGCCATCTCCCCAGCCCCTAATATTTTTCTTTTTATCAGCCTCCACTTTAATCTTATCTTTTTCACTTTTTTTTTTTGTGGAGGTTTTAGTCCATACTCAGCTGGCTCCAAAGCAGAGTGGCACATGGCAAAGGGCAGCAGTTCATGGTGGAGGAAAACAGTAAAAGCAACAAAAGCAAAAGGAGAGAGGCACTTAGGCAGAGTGCAGCAGCTGGGGTTCGATCCCCACTGCACACCATGCAGGCCTTGACCCCGGGGCATGCTGAGATGGTGATTGAGACTGGGTGTGGTGGTACACGCCTGTAATCCTAGCTCTTGGGAGACTGAAAAGAGGAGAATCACTATGAGTCTGATCTATGTAGTAAGACCCTGTAGACCCTGTACTACATTAAAAAAGAAAAAAAAAAGAAAGAGGGGGAGAAGCAGCAAAAGCCACTGATCTTTCCCTCCCTTATATTCACTGTATGCAGGCCCACAGTGGGTGTGACACTCACACCCATAATCCCAGCATTGGACCATGAATCAATCAAAAACTCCAGAAGCTGCCCCATGATTGCATGAATCTCGGGGCGGGGGTGGGTCACAGCTAGACACAAACCATAACAACGCTTACCACCTAAGGTTCTTTGTGATCCACATACTGCTAGTTTTTGTTTTTGCTGCTGTAATCCATGATGGCTTATTGTTTTATGGTCAGTGTGGGATTAAAGCAAAAATTCTTCTGATATGAATGGAAATTACAACCCTCCAGAAGTTTTCATTTCCTTTTTACTACTTTATGTTTGCAGTACGCAATGCTTATGTCCCTTGAGGGGAGATGGTAGACATACAGAACACATAGTAATTCCTTTTTTAACCTCTTTCTTACCCTTCCCTACCCCCTCCTTCCATCTCTTGATCCACTTTCTCTTTGAGAAATCTCTGTCTCTATGCTTCCTATTATTTACCTTCTATGTTGCTCTTTACTTAAACTTTGGGTTTCTGATATAAGAGACTCAGGTGATATTTAAGCTTGTATGATTGACTTTGCTTAACATTATAGTCTCAATGTATATTTATTTTCACATAAATGACTCAAGTTTGTATTTCTTTAGAGCCAAGTATGCTTCACTGGGCGTAAAATGCATTCTCTTTATTCATGCATCTATTTTTGGAAGCATAGGCTACTTCCAAGACTTAACTATTACAAGATGTATTGCTATGAACCTAAGTATGCAAGTATCACTATAGTATGATGTCTAACTGTTTTGGGAAGATGTCTAGATAATAGTTTTTTTAAAACATGTATTTGGGAAAAAAATGATCTGTATTTGGTACAGGGTCTCTCTACACAGCTCAGACTCCTAGTGATCCTCCTGTGTTCCCTCCCCAGCACGGGCATTATAGGCGTGTGCTACCACAGCCGCTCTACGTGGCCGCTCAGCACGCCTGGGGGCGTGGCGGGTGTGGCGTGCGATGCCAGGGATAGAACTCCGGTCCTTGCACTTGCCTAAGCGGGCATTTAGTCTGCTGAGCTATCTTACCAGCCCAAAGAAGGGTAACTGAGTCAAGTAGAATTTCTAGTTTTAGTTTTTTTGAGGAATCTCCATATTTATTTCTATAGTAGTTGTACTGGTTTACATTCCTGCCGACAATGGAGAAGGTTCCTTTTCCCCACAGTCTTGCCAGCATTAGCTATTATTTGACTTCTTGAGGACAGCCATTCTTTTAGGGGTAAGACAGAATCTCAACACTGTTTTTTGTTTTTTGTTTTTTGTTTTTTTTGCTCCAAATGCCTTCAGGGTAGGTTTGCCTGGCTTGAGTTGTGGGAATCGAACCACAGCAACCTGAGCCTGACTGCTTTGTTGAAGCAGCCACTTAAAGAACTGAGCTGGGGCCAGGGAGATGGCTCAGTAGAATAAGTGCTTCCCTGGCAAGCACAAGGGCTAGAGTTCAATCCCCAGTTCTGCCAAAAAAGAAAACTAGGGCCATTCTTTGGGCCTGGGAGATGGCTCAGTAGGATAAGTGCTTGACTGGCAAATGCAAGGATCTGAGTTCAATCCCTGGTTCCGCCCTTAAAATAAAATAAAATAAAATAAAGAACTGAGCTAAGGGGCAGGCCCCCTCAACACTGTTTTAATTTGTATTTCTCTAATGGCCAGAAATTTGAGCCTTTCTCCATGTATTTGTTGGCCATTTGTACTCCTCCTGTCAGTGTCTATTCATTTCACTGCCTAGTTTTTGATTGTGTTTTTAAATTTGGGGGGCATCTAATTTTTATGTATCCTAGATATTAGTCCACTGCCTGAGGAGTAGCTGGAAATTTTTCTCTCTCTGTTGGTTGTTTCTTTTGCTGTACAGTAGCTTTTTTGTTTACTATGATACCATTTGTTGGTTTTAAGTAATATTTCCTGTGCATCCAGAGTTCTGTTCAGAAAGTTCTTACTATGCCTATGACTTCAAGAGTTGTACCTACATTGTCTTCCAGCAGATTAAATATATCTGCTTTAACATTTACTTCTTTTTTTTTTTTTTTTTTTTTTTTTTTTTTTTAATTTATTTATGTGTGTGTGTGTGTGGCCAGCTCAGCCCACCAGGGGGCGGGGCTGGCTGGCATGTGGTGCTGGGGGATTGAACCGCGGTCCTGTGCTTTGCTGAACTTGTTCTAAGTAGGTGTTTTAGACCACTGAGCCATCTCACCAGCCCCACATTTACTTCTCTGATCCATTTTTAGTTTAGTTTAGTACATGATATGGGTGTAGATTCAATCTTCTGCATGTGGATGGCCAGTTTTTCCAGTATCACTTATTAAAGAGTCTGCCTTTCTTCCTATGTATGTTTTTGGCCCCTTTGTCATAGATCTACATCTTCTTTTCTGTTCCATTGATCCTATGTCTGTTTTATTGCCAGAAACATGCTGTTTTTATCACTGTAGTTTTGCACTATAACTTCAAGTATGGATTCTGATGCCTTCCACTTTGGTTTTGTTACTCAGGATTGTTTTTGTTATTCTGGTCATTTCTGGTCCCACATGAGCTTTAGGATTGTTTTCTCTAGTTCTGTGAAATTCTGTGAAGATGTTGTTGGAATATTGATTGAGATTGCATTACTCAGGGTAAATCCTGAGGGGATTTGACTGACTTTATCAGATCCAAAAGCTACAATTCTTGTTACATAGGTCTTGCTTTATCTTGATCTTAACCATCCAGCAGAAAAGTATAAAAACAAAGTACATGAAATAAAGCCATGTTGTTATGTTGAACTGTAGGGGACTCAGGTCAACAATTTCTGACATTGCCAGTCAAGTGGAAGACCCAGTACTATTATGGACTACTGGGCTATTTTGGAATATTTTGCTGAGTTCACACACCTATAATATTTATATGATAGAACTAAACAAAAAAAGGGGATATAGATGAATGACCATTTTGTATCTGTGTACTTAAAATGGTTAGGATAGAAATATAGCTACATTCTCTTAATTCAAGGAATAGAGGGATTTGTTCTAATAGTGTTTGAAAATAGGATATCATGTCTGCATCTTGTACAACAAATAACCACTAGGAAGGCAGTATGCAATGTGTTAATTATTGGAACTGTCCAACCAATTTGATTTAAAACTATCTCATTGCTATTTATTTCTCAATAAAATTATGGAAAAAATAAAAAAGAGACTGCATTAAATGTTTACTTCAATTTTGGAAGTGTGATCATTTTGGCTAGGTTGGTTCTGCCTGTCCAGGATCACGGGATATTGTTCAATTTTCTAATATCCTCTTCAATTTCCTCTTTCAGAGAATTGTAGATGTCATTGTAGAGATCTTCCACCATCTTGGTTTAATTCCTGAGTAATTTTTTTTTTTTTTTTTTTTGGTATATTGTGAATGGTATTTTTCCTAATTTCATTCTTGATGAGTCCATTATTGGTATACAAGAATACCACTGACTTTGTAACCTCCTACATTGCTCAGTTTGGTTATTTATTCCTGGAATATTTTGGTGTTTTTTATCTTCTAGGTAGAAGATGATGTCATTGAAAATAATGATAATTTTACTTCTTCCTTTCCTGTACACATTCCTTTCACTTTTCCTCTTGCCTGATTTTCTTGCTAACATTTTTAGCACTATGTGGGACAAGATTGATGATAGTGGACACCCTTGTCTTGTTCCTGATTTTAGAGAGAAAACTTTCAATTTCCCCTCACGTAATATGATGTTGGCAGTAGGACTGTCAACAGTGGCTTTTATCAGCATGAGATAAAGTCCTTCTATATCAATTTTTGTCAATGCTTTTATTATGAAAGGATGTTGAATTTTGTCAAAAGTTTCCTCTGCACCTATTGAGATGATCATATGATGTCTGTCCTTGCTTCTGTTTATGTGATGTATTACACTAATTGATTTGTATATATTGAACCATCCGTGGATCCCTGGGATAAAGCCTGCTTGGCCATGAAGTGTGGTCATTCTGATGATTCATTACATTCTGTTTGTCAATATCTTCTTGAGGATTTTTGTATCTATACTCCTTAAAGAAGTGGGTTTGTCATTCTCTTTTTTGGTTTGATCCTTGTCTGGATTTGGAATCAGGG